ATCTCACTAACCGTTCTCGCTGCATTGTCCTGTACTTATTCGTGACCTAAATGGAAAATTCATCCTAATATTAGAAGGACCCATGAGTTGGTAGAAAGTGCCTTCTAAAAGTGTGGGTACCATATCGAAGTCAAGCCGATTGTGCCTTTGTGACAAGGAATAGATCACTCACTCTGCACAAAATAGTCACTGAGTTAAAACTAACTGTAGATAGAAACTAACATAGGAATAATATATTTTTAGTCATACAACATTCAGTGAAAACGTCCAGTTCCATTAGTTAATAAACGAAAATGCTTTGTAAAGAGTTAATGTCGGAGTTGGACTTCCTCGAGTAGACTCCCTGTCATAATTGCTTTATTTAAATAGCTGTATAATTTCACATGCAGCTGTCATTTTTCAGTTTAGACTTAGATTATCTATTCCTCTGTTGAAAAAAAAACCTGGTTTTACCATACTAACTGGGCAGATTATCAATAATCTCGCGGACTACAGGAATTCTTTCTTAAACCACGTCCAATTTACCAGAGTGTGAATTATATAATTATTGAGTGACTTTTGGTTTCCATAGTTGGAAAACTAAAAGCATCCATAAAATCCTCCCACTCTGAAGCCCCAACTCAACAACCCAGATTCCTGAGTAACTGGGAACTTGTAACATTTTGCAAAAAAAAAAAGACAATGTGAGTATTTTAATTGCATGCATTTCTAAGGCACTTCTTACTAAAGGTCGTTGGAAAAATGTTTTTGCTGTCTGCCAAAAATGTCTCTTGCATTTTTTGCATGAAGTGTTTTTGAAAAAGCTAGCTCAAGATCTTACTGTCTCAGAAGTATGAAGGATAAGATCTTCAAGGCATATTTTAGACAACTTTCCTAATAGAATTCATATAATTCTCAAACTTTGTCATGTGAAAGTATTGTTGCGATTGTTTTTGAATATACCAATGACAAATAAGCATCCTGTGTGACTTTATATTTACAGCTTAACTGAATGACTGAGAACGAACAATGAACCGATTGTACCTGAGTCATCAGACAGGTCACCGAACTATCCCCTCAAGTTCTTCTGTCACCTTATTTTGGGTCCCCGTTTTCAAACCTTTTCTTCTCAGAGTGGGGCCATCCCCTTCGGCGGCACCAGGTGGTGGGGAGTGGCCTTGCCGTGGAAACAGCGGGTGGCCTCGCGCTCGGCTGAGGCTCCGCCAGGTGGACAGCAGGTGGACAGCAGGTGGACAGCAGGTGGACCACAGGTGGCGAAGGGATGAGCCACACGGTTCACACAAGCACTGCGAGCTGGGAGCACAGCCGCGTGGAAGGGGCTGGAGTACTCAGCACGTCAGGGCCTACACCGCGCGTGCTCCCGCGTTGCTCACATCTGGGACCGTGGCCAGCACGGTGTGTGTGCGAGTGTGGCGTGCGTGTGTGTGTGCATGTGCGTGTGCGTGTGCATGCGCTCACGATCAGCCCGGAGGTAACCATCATTACACAATCAGGACTTAACACCAGTGAAAGCTGGCACCGGCCTTCAAGTCAGGACCCCGTGACAGCAGGGGCTGGGTGGGATGCGGCGTGTGACTCTCGGGAGACACTAAGCTCACAGGGACAGTGCCAGGGAAGCGCTTACGACGTGGGCCGTGGGACAGCCAGCAGGCAATGTGGGCTCGGGGACACAGCACAACGTGGGCCATGGGACAACCCACAGGCAGTGTGGGCTGGGGGACACAGCACGACGTGGGCCGTGGGACAGCCAGCAGGCAGTGTGGGCTCGGGGACACAGCACGACGTGGGCCGTGGGACAGCCAGCAGGCAGTGTGGGCTCGGGGACACAGCACGACGTGGGCCGTGGGACAGCCAGCAGGCAGTGTGGGCTCGGGGACACAGCATGACATGGGCCGTGGAACAACCAGGAGGCAGTGTGGGCTGGGAGACACAGCACGATGTGGGCCGTGGGACAGCCAGCAGGCAGTGTGGGCCTCCAACGTGCACCCCGGGCTCCTGCCCGCACGTCCCTCAGGCACATGGCTCCTGTCAGGAGACAAACCCTGGCGCCTCGCACGCGGTCACCTAGGTGGCAGGCAGTCACCGGGCACTGAGTGTGCCCACGACAGCCCTGCGTGCTAGGTGCACGTGCTTCCCCCGGTTTGCCACAGGTGTGCACGGCAGAGCCACTTACCAGGCAGTCACCCAGGGGAGTGGTCCACGACATGGTCACACAGCACGTGGCCCTGTGCCGACGCCATGCGTGTTTCTCACCCCGTGACGCGGCCTCGGTGTCTGGGTCACCTCAGGAAAAGCGGAGCAGCGGTGGGCACGGAGTCCGGTGGCCGCAGTCCCTCGGGGTCTGCATGCCGATGCCCGTGGCCTGGTGGAGGCGGGCACTGGGCACGGCCACCAGGACCCCGGCCATTGCAATGTCGCCGCGACGGCCCCGCAGGACAGGGGTCAAGGGTCAGACCACGTGGGGCACTGCAGGCGGGAGGCCTCCGAGCGCCGTGTCCATCACAAGCCGGCATGGAGGTGCACGGGGGACTCCCTGAGGACACTCGAGCCGAGGCGATGAGCACGGGGACCTCACTGAGAGCTGCGGGTCCCGCGTCCGCGCGCCCGCCGGCCCTCGCTCCCCATCCCTGAGAACCCCAGCTCCGCCCGGCCATGCACCAGAGCAGAAGTGGACGGCCGCCCTGACTCTCGTTTGCGTGGGACGTGATCGTGCCCGGCCACAGAAATACCCGCAGAGACTCTTTTTAAAAAATAAATGAATAAAAACCTTCTTGAAAACTTTGCTTTATTAGGGAATCTAGCCCAAGTGTGGAAAATTGAAAAATCACTATTTACGACAACCGGCTAACAATAAGCTACTAGCAACAGACAACAACGAGCAGTCGACAGCTCCCCTGGCATTAATTCTCAGACAATCTTAAGACCCATGTTGATGACCTTGTAAGACTAGAAATAAAAAAGTCATCGTCGCAGGTGACACGGTTTTCACACGCGTACACACATATAGGGTCAGGAGACCTGTCTTAGACACGTTTGTAAAGGGTTACACAGTGCAATGAAACCCGAGGAAAAACGGTATATGCCAACAACAGCTATTTGTAAATTGTGTTTATTAAGTCTCCATCGCAGCGGGGACTAACGTACGCTCCATCATCCAGCAGGTGTGCCGTCAGCTTCATGCGATGCCGAAAGGGGCAGGCTCAGCTCGCTGCACGCCTGGGGCCCTGCACCCCGCATTCCCTGCCTCGGCCCCGTTGCCAGCGACACGGCGGCAAGATTGTGAAAAGGCACAGCACGGGCCGGCACGCAAAATGCCGTTTCAAGTATTCAGAGAGCAGCGTGTGCGCACGGCCGGGGGGCTGCCCGTGGCGGTCCCTCCGCGCAGCGGGGCTCCCGGTGGGCGGGCACGGGCCGCGTGTCATGGTGTACGCAGGGACGGACCGCATCCGGAACCGTCACCGCTCTCCCCATGTGAGTGAGTGTCATCAGGTAAATGTCGTGATCTCCTACCCTCAGCTGTCAGACCCAGGACGGCAGACGGTGAACATATAAACTCAGCAGCGCGTGCGGATGCTGAGGACACAGACCGTCCACAGGGAGGCGCTGCCCTGTGCTGTCTGGTGTGCGTCTCTGCTGCCCAGCGGGTGCTGTCAGAGTCCCCAGCAGGCCACAATGGCCAGAAACGGCTGTGAGGGACTGGGCAGAGGGGTGGGGTGGGGTGGAGGAGTGAGAGGGGAACAAATTCATTTCAAAAACGGTTTTGTCAATTTCTGTCACTTCTGCACGTCATGTAAAGTTTGGATGAAGACCTCACGCTGCTCAGAGCCGGTGCCAGGACGACAGAGAGCAAACAGGCTCCCCGGGGAAGAGTTAGATGCTGCGCCCCGTAACGCGGACTGCGTGACCCAGGCCACGAGAGGCGGGGACAGGACAGTGTCTCAAGGTTAAAACTTTGGAAAGGGAACACCTGAGCGTTCAAAAATTACATTACAGAAAAGCCATCAGACAGTTACAAACACATTCAACAACAGTCGTTTAAAGATGCCACATAAACAATAATCTTTAACTGTTAAAGAACTTGAACGAAAATCTGAACCTTGCTGCTTTCACACATTTAACATAATGTTATGTAAGAAAATGAAGTAGAAAAATTACAAAACGTTTCCAGAGGCCAATCATTGGTTGGTGGAGAAGGAAGTAACATGTGACGACTGATTCCCGCATTTACTTAATTGTAAGTTTTGCCCACAGTAAGGAAAGGGAAAAAGCGCCAGCGGCAAACGAACACAAAGCCGGGCGGGCGCGGGCGCCAGGTTAACATAATGTTATGTAAGAAAATGAAGTAGAAAAATTACAAAACGTTTCCAGAGGCCAATCATTGGTTGGTGGAGAAGGAAGTAACATGTGACGACTGATTCCCGCATTTACTTAATTGTAAGTTTTGCCCACAGTAAGGAAAAGGAAAAAGCGCCAGCGGCAAACGAACACAAAGCCGGGCGGGCGTGGGCACCACGCTCTCATGCCCCGGGGCGGGGGCGTCCCTCGTGGCTCCCGCATCCCGCATCCCGCATCCCGGGGAGAAGCGCCGGCCCTCAGCGCCTTCCCGCGTCGCTGAGCGTGCCGTGCCTTCGGCCAGGCCAAAGCCCCGTCAGGACACACGCGCACGGCACGCCCCGCGGGGGCGCCTCACTGGGACGCACGCGGACCAGGACTTAAAACTCAGGTCTGACGCGGTCACCGAATCGGTTTAAGTCATCGAGGCTCCCACGAGGCTCGGTGCCAGAACCCTCCGCCGCCGGCCGGCGAGTGACGCGCGTCTGTCTTTGCGTTCCGGGCTGTGCTTCGGGA